TTCTCCATTCAGAGGGGCCCCTGCCTGTCTTTGCCTGGGGCCCCAGCCTTCCTAAATCCGCCCCTGGTTGTATCCGCTCTGATAGGGATTTATTAGACCGACTTTATTACATTTATTTCCTTCTTTATCTCATCCTGAGATGAAAAGCTTCTCAGTAGAAGGTTTGTTTCTGGGTCGGCTTTCAGGATAGATCTGAACCTTAGAAACGCTTCAGCCAATCAGCTGTTAGGAAACACTGATTTAAAAATATAAAAACTTAAAACATCAGAACTAAAGAAGCTGGAAACCAAAAAGCCGTTAACACAAAATGTTATTGACACTTTGAACAGTTTTCAAATTATTCATTTTAGTTTTTCCTCCTTCTTGATAAACCAACATTTAATTTATTCTGAATAATGACCTCATACCTGCTGGAAAACGTTCAGCTATGCAGTAAAATAAAGGAGACGGATTCACTGACTCAGCATTTTATTAAACCAACCATAGCCCCCTCCCTGGAAGGGCTTTATGATTATAATAATTGATACTGAATAATTAAACTGTATTGATCTCATGTTGGAGAAATTCCCTCTCAGGTTTATTGGATCAGAACCAAACATGGAGCAGCAGCATCTATGCGCCATTAATCTGGAATAAACTCCCAGCAGACTGGAAAAGAGCTGAAAGTCTGACTTGGATTTTCTCACTGAAATGTTTTCTATAAACGGACCTTTAATTCCATCAGACCCAGAGATGTGATGAAGGGTTTCCATGGAGATGTGATGAATGGTTTCCATGGAGATGTGATGAATGGTTTCCATGGAGATGTTAGGATGGCCTAGTCAAAGTCCAGACCTAAACCCAACTAAATAAAACTGATTAATTCCAGACAAACCTCAGTAAAAATCCCCCCCGCTGAACAAAGTCTTCTTATTTCCTTAAATGGCCGGTTGGCGACTCGCTGACTAGTCACCAACAAGTCCAGCTGGTCTCTGGTTCTGGAAGCGGAGACCAGCAGCAGGTTCTGATTCTGGTTCTGAGGGATGAAGACGAGTCGGTTTGGAGCTGCAGCAACATTTATTCAAACATCGTTAATATTTGAAATATTTTATCAGAAAAATACAATCTGGACGGACCAGAGATTCACAGCTGAAACAGCAGGGGGAGCCGCTGAGTAAAAACTGCACCGCTGGACAGAACCAGTTCTGGCTGATCCACCAGAGGGCGCCAGATCCACCATGATCCACCAGAGGGCGCCAGATCCACCACAGCCTTCATGTTTTCATCGTTTATAACCCGACACTCGTTAAGCAGGGTCCCGGTTCTACCCAGACCTCTTCCACAGGAGTCCACTAGCAGGTCCGAGTCGACCCGTCTATCAGCAGGTTAAACACTCGGCACCAAGTCATCCAGTTCAGATCTGCTGGTTTTAAATCACGCCTCTGTTCTGAGAAGGATGCCGGTACAGAGTCCGGTTCGGGTCCGGTTCAGGTCCGGTTCAGGTCCGGTTAGGGTCCGGTTCGGACCGGTTCAGATCTGGTTCAGGTCCGGTTCAGATCCGGTTCGGGTCCGGTTCAGGTCCGGACCGGTTCGGGCCAGATGTGATCACAGAGGAAAATAAATAAAAAGAGAAACTAACAGAACATCTAAAGTCTCTAAAACCTCCAGAACCGGTGGGATCCGGTCCGGTTCTGACCCGACCACTTCAAGGAGGACGGGCTCACTGATCCGGATCCAGAACCAGGACGATAACGGCCACCATCTGTTCCGGGTCAGACGTGGAGCCGGGAGTGGCGAGTCTTCCACCTCCTGGATCGGACTTTGAAGAAGAAGAAGAGGAGCATGAGGACGAGGCAGGAGCAGACGTACAGAACCACACACAGACTCATGTCCACGCTGTTGAAGCCCAGAGCCAGGATCCAAACTCCACCGCCGCCTCCTCCGCTCACTACCTCCTCCTTCTGCTCCCCCGCCCTCCCACCTCCCCCTGCTGCGGCTGGAGGCTCCTGCTGCGGCGCCCTGGTTGGACCGGGAGCAGCAGGGAGCGGCGGGGGGAGCAGGGAGTACCGGGGGGACAGGTTGGCGGCTCCGTAGTGGTGTCGCAGGAACTGGAGGACGTTGTCTTGGTTCCAAACATGGACGCCGTTGTTCTCCTCATGGCAGGCGGGGCAGAGGGCGGGGCTTGGCCACGGGGCTTTGGGGAACAGCGGGTCGTCACTCAGAGAGCCTGAGGAAGAAACATTTCAGATTTTTATGATTTATCACAATATTCACAATATATAAACAGTTAGGAAAGGAAAACGCCAAGATGGCGCCGCTGAGTCTCGGTTATCAGAAGAGAACTAAGACCAGGACCGGTCCTCAGTTCACTAGAACCTGAGTACGGACTCGTGTTCTCTTATTTTCATTTTGCTCCAGTCAGGCCTTCCCTCCATAGATGTTCTTTGTTTAGAATAAAACGGTTTCCTCCTCATGTTTAGGTTGGAATTTTACGCCTTTCTGACGTAGATTGGGCTTTAAAAATGAGCTCCGGTGCTTCGCTGAAGGAAACGTTTGTTTTCGGCGCTAATTATGAAAATATTTTAGATTTTACAGAAAATATGTGAATAAAAAGTGTTTCCTGTTTCAGTTTAAACATATTTTTTACAGCAACAGGGAAGAGACCTCTCACTTTTCACAAGTCGGGACTGGGCCTCAATGTCGCCCCCCAGTGGCGGCTGATCTGTCATTACATGTCTTAAAATCACAAAACTCCAACTTTGAAAATATCATTTTTTTTATTTTATCTGTTATTTATTTACTTCTGCGGAGCAGAACCGTTTGGACCGACTCGGCGTGGGTTGGTTTACCTGCCAGTCTGGCGTTGACCCGGTTGTGCTGGTTCCACAGCCACAGCACCTCCTCCTCCCGACTCTTCACCTGCTCCATCCCCGCGGCGGCCGCCTGCTCAAAGTGCCGGGCGCATTCCCTGCAGCCGAAGAACGTCCGGATGTAGCGACGCATCACCTGCAGCACCGGGGCAGCCTGGGCCTCCAGACCTGCATGACATCAGACAGCAGGTGAGCTTACCTGGAGCGCATCCAGCTGGCTGATCTCTGGGCGCTCTGTACCTGTGCCGTCCAAGGCGGTGGGCGTGGCTTCGTGCTGAACAGTCAGAACATGGAACAGAGTCCAGAGGGAACACGGGTAACCTCGGAGCCCCGGCCTGCTGCCCTGGCAGCCCACCCAGCGAAGCTCCGCCCCCAGGAACACACCTGAAATCTGAACCAGGTGCAGGAGGGAGTCAGCTGCAGTCCTCTGTGTGTGGCAGAGGGGGGTGGTGGGGTGGGGGGGCTCACCTTCATCTTGTTGTCCACCAGGTCCATGACGGCCTGGTAGGGGATCTGCTGCAGAGGCAGGCTGAGCAGCCAATCAGAGAGCGTCTCCATCAGCTTCACCACGGAGCCTCGGCCCGGATAGAGCTGCGGGGGGGGGAACGGGGAAC